ACCTTCCCTTCTGGTATCGCCACTCTCACCGCTGGTCCTGAGGGGTTCATCTGTCCTGGATTCCCTGTGTTTCCAGTTCCCATCTGTACCGCTGTGCATCCTCTTGTCTAACCAGTTTTGCAAGGTAGAATTGTGATCATGATATTTGGCGGGAGGAAGCGTTTAAGAACTAGAGGAAGGTTGTGAGTTTCATTATTGCTACACTGAACCCTGAGTGATTCATCTCCTCCCCACTATCCCTTTGTAAGGGATGTCCAGTTGTCTACAGATGGACATTGAGTCCCCATCACGCACTACCCTCATTCACGATGATATGATTCCCCCTGCCCTGCCTTTGGTGTTTGAAACCTGGTCCCCTTGACCCTTCATGATCACACATGTTGGTGTGCTGCTTCCATGTGGGCTTTGTTGCTTCTGGGCTAGATGGCTGCTTGTTTACTTTCAAGCCTTTAAGTCCCCAGATGCTATATGTCTCGATAGCCGGGCACCATCAGCCTTCTTCACCACACTTACTTATGCACACCTTCGTCTTCAGCGTTTATGTGGGGAAGGTGATCACACAATGATGGTTTTTGTTCTTTGGTGTCTGCTACCTGATCCCTTCAATACCTCGTGTTCACACAAGCTGGTGTGCTTCTTCCATGTGGACTTAGTTGATGCCTCACTTAGATGACTGCTTGTTTAAATACAAACCTTTAAGACCCAGGTCCTATTTTTTTTTCTTATAGCTAGGCACCATCTGATTTCATCACCATAGTTTGCTGTAGCACCCATATTTTTGGTGATCTTTTCATGAGGGCAAGCATCAAGCAAAACCTTGTTATAAGAACTAATTGTTCTTATATTTGGGCTGCAATTAAGTTCAAGCCCCAAATCCATTTAAATATGTATGGTTTATATATTTCTGTCATTCATTTTAGAGATATCACTACCATTTATGTTAGAGATCATTATCAAGCATCCCCCGGGGCATAAGGTAATTGTATTGACACTGTCATTAATTTATCCAATGGTATAAAATTTATGACTCTTGGAAAAAGAGAAATTATGCAAATAAAAGTGGGCTTCAGGCTGCTATACACAAATTGTTGGCTTAAATAGATTAAACTATTACTATTTATACAGACAAAGGGGTTGGTAATAGGACAAAACTTTCAACAATATTCATTGGCAGAACTTGCCTACCAGAACTTGCCTATATGTCATAATAAAGAAAGTAGGGCATTAAAATAATTTATGGTAGTTCCAGGCCACTATTCATTAGGCACCCTCATTGCAAGAGATGCGAACTAAAGTCCATCAACTGCCAGTTCTATATCCTGTTGTATAACCTACAGAGAGCATTGTTAAGTCATGTATGGCAGATGTCATTAGGTTAAAATGTAATAGTCATCTACTTCTTACACTAGGGAATTTCAGCCTTTAGTCTAAGGCCTAATGGTGAGTTTAAGATCATATCCACTTCACTTAGCAGGGTTTCCAAATGAAGTGCTTCTGGTGTGGCCTATGAAGTATGTTGTGTGCCTCAAAAGAACAAAGTCTAAAGTCCTAGTAGCCTATAGCACATGGCCTGGGTGACCAAGGGTTGGATAGAAACTTGGTCAAAAGTGTCCAATTAGTACCCAGTATTCTTCCCTTGGATTCTATACAGTATTGTTAAGCATTTTGTTTTGTCTGTTTTTTCCCCAATAGGA